CGTATATTTTTTCACGATCTCATCTGACGAAAGAGCGAATGCCGTCACGTATGATAATTTCATCTGTAGAATGTATAATAAATGCAGACATGGACAGGTGAAAAAGTGTCAGGAAATGCGCAAGAGTAGATTTCGCGTTTCAAGAGATGGAAAGAGCTGTTGGCGGAGCGTTGACCGGCGCGGTCCCTGGGAAATTGCTTAACGTGATTTACCCGCCGAAGCAAGACTTCCCGAAAGCTAATGTGACACGTGAAAGCTGACGTTGGCTCGAAACGTACACGCAATAACGGATCAGTTGTCTCTTATCTGGTTCACCATTTCCTCCAAATTCGGATAGAATTCATTGAAAACCGTCTTGTCTCTAAATTAATCTAAACTGATATCGTCGAATGTAATGCTTATAAATATTGAGTATTTTCATTTAAATAGATACTTTCATAAAATATACATATAATGTTGGGTTGGCAACTAAGTGATTGCGAATTTCAAATAAGAAGTCTATCGACAAACTCCACAATTATTTAATTGCCAACCCAATAATAGGTGCACATATTGCAGAATTAGTTGCCATTTATTGTCAATGATTGTTCGTTCATTTACACATTTAATATCATATTTAGTTAGACTATTTTATTACAAATGTGAATAATGGCAATTAAAGATATCTTAGTGTAACACAGAAATTCTATACAATAACAGTTATGATAATAATCTGAGAGAGCATGGTAAATTAAATTAACTCGTATAAAACAAATGAAAAAGGGAAACGTCACATTAAAAGTTTCTGAAGCATGCTCGAAACTGAATCGCGTATCAAGGCGAGTACGTACAAAGCGGCTCTTCGGTCGGTAGCGACCGTAAGAACAGCTTTTGTAAACGAGCTTAAACAGGAGCAAAGCCGGGGAAAAATTTTTTCCGCCCAGTCTTGTTTCCTTTTCCCCTGTGTGTCTGTGTCGAGACAACGAGTCGCACGATGCGACGATAAAAGCTGCGTCGAGGGGAAAAATAAGTAGAGAACCCTCGTTCGCGTTTCCTGATGGGGAAATGTGGGTCGCGAGGAATTCGACGGTTTGAATCGCGATTTGCAGCTCGTTGGTCCCTTTCCACGGTCTTCATCGGCTCACGAACATTAATAAAATTATTCGAACGCCGACGCGTCTCCGGGAGGTCGCGTTTTAAAATCGTCACGACCCCTCTTCGGCGTGGCTATTAAATTTTTTCATCTCGTACGTCGTAAACTTTTCAAGCGACAACTCCATTTGCTTTGATATCTGTTACATCAGTTTCATATTCTATATAATAAACAGGACGGTTTATAAAAATTTCGCGTCCACATCTAAACGGGATTTACCTGGATATTTACTACGCGGACATTCGCTATTTCCCAGCCGCGGCTAGAGGAACGAGAGGTACAGAAAATTCATGCATGTATTAAAACAAAAAGTGAGAAATGGATTTGAAAATTTTTTCCCCTTTCGGACGGATTACCACTGGAAATCGGATTTTATACAAATTGCAGACCGTTTAAAATGGTCCATCGTCCACCGTGTAAAATCATTCTGGAATGGTTCCTACCCCACTCTCGCCCCGTGTAATTTTACCGATTTACCGAGGCCCGCACTCGAGCTGCTGGCCATTTTCATTTCGGCGATACATTCCGCAGCCAAACTGAAATAAAAAATGGTGCTGACAATTTCGAGCAATTTAGCGGGAATCGACAAAGAGCCGCGGCAATTCCATTTCCCGCGTTCGACTCGTGCCGCGAGAATTTCATGAAATTTCGACGCGTCGGATGAATTTACACACTATCGGCTATTAGCGAGAGCGAATTTGTATCGTGAGAACGTGGAACGAGGGGCCGTCGACTAAAAAATTCAAGTATTCCCATTGCGGTTATCCATCAATGGGTTCAAAGAACGTTTACACATGTATTACAAACAGGATGATTCTGTGTAATATGATTTTGCGATAAATTATTGATCCACATAAAAATCATTCTTCCTTTTCAATAAATAAAATATTTACTGATCATTTTTATTATAACTCATTTCATATCAAAATATTTCAAATCTGGCGAATTATTTATGATCTCACAATGAAAAAAATGAGAGAATTAATCGAATCAAATGTAATTATGCACAAGTACTTTTTGCATTTTATGTGTTACAATTGTGTAAAAATTATCGACAAGTGTTGCACGGTTCGTCATAGCTGAAGCCTGAAACCCGCGGAATTCCTGGAAGGTCGAACTCATTAAAGTGGCGTGTAATTATTAAAGGAACCAGATTCGCTGATTGCGCTTATCTCGGAGCTAAATTTCGTCTACGGCTGTCTGTGCGGCTATAATATTCGGAAGTTTCGAGACGAGAGGCTCTCCGCGGCGCGTGTAAGTTTTAATTGTGCGGCAGTTTCAAAGCTGCGAGGCCCCGTGGTACCGTGGAATAGTATGACGTCCTACGGCTAGCGAGCAACTTCGATTGGCCTTTAAAATGAACTTGAATAGTCTGTCTAATGTTCGCGCGCTCTTGCCTTCGGGTGAGAACTTCCAGCGAAAGTTGTTACTCCTTAGAACTTTCGGTAACACAAAACGGAATTAATGTTACACGTGTATTATTTACACGCCACTCTGTAACAGAGCGTATTAGCTTCAGTAAGTTGTCTTAATAGCTCTCGCAAGTTTGTTTGTATAAACAGTCATCGTGCGATGGAGTTGGACAGAAGATGAACCAAACAGTGGTAGCATGAATGATATCTATAATCTGTAATACTCCGATTTTTAAAGAATACTCAAATCATGAAGAGGCGTCAGTTTTTAAATCGTAATTCGTACAATATCATAAACACATTGGAGCAATGATACCAAAGTTTGCTTAACGGGTGTGAAGATATTCCTCTCGTTTCGGAGTAACAATTTTACGGTAGGGGAGAATTAAACAACGGGGTTAATCGCGTCGAAGGTTAGCGGTGAGTGAGGCGAGTAATATCGGCTTAGAGTCAGCCCGCGAAATCCTGGCTCGCAGCGGAACCGGCGCGTTCAACTTTTTAATTAAGCCAATCAATCTGAGTTGGATGCTAAATCCTCGGAATCCGGCAAGAACAAGAAACGAAATTTTCCGACCTACACTCCTTCGTGTACCTTTAATGTAATTTTAATAACGTACAAATGAGAGAAACAGTGGGAAGTTAAAATAATTAAGGAAAGTTGCATTTTAATTTTAACAATTATGAGTTACAAAGCAAACGGTGTTTCTTTACATGTTTTTGATAATACGGGGTTAGAATGAAATGTTTCTGCTTTCACCAGTCTCTGTGTTCAACATTAATTTTCACAATTAGCACCAGAGAAATAATTATTCTTTTCTTCGTTTCCTGCGTTAGTTAAAACAAAATTTGCTCCCATTGTTTTAATAATACGTTCATGCTCTTGGTTGTACGAAAATCCTGAAAATATGAATCATCAAGATCGAACGAATGTTCGACTTACAATTAGGCATTTAATACTTTCACCTCGACGTTTAAGATTAAAGTTACCGAAACACCGAACATAAAATTTTCGTTAGAAACCTAATACCTCTTTCGATCCAAAATGCCAATCTTTCTTAAGTCTGCTACAAAAAATCATTACCTTATCAACTGAACCAGCTATTCCATCCCGGCCATCATCATCATTCTGATAAACGGGGAAAGTCTTGAGCAGGAAAAACCGGGACCACCTCCATAAAGTTTAGCATTTAGACAGGAGTCTCTTCTCACGAAGCGCAACGTAGTCGAGTGGTCCATTACGAGGCAAAAGGAAGCCGTCGATAGTCGTTACTCGTCGGTTATCCTTCTCCTCCGTGTAAACCGTCCGGGAAACACCATGAGGGAAATTTCCTCGGTGAGGGAGGCTTGCCACTCTCCTGAGAAGTAGCGCCTTTTATCCTCGACGCGGTTGCTCCTCACGGGAGCGCGGTTCTTGTAATTAGGCCGCTCTCGAGGATGCCTCTTTCCTTCGGCCAGCGGTCGAGCAATCTCCTCGACGATCCCGCCGGTCTTATCTCGGCCGTTTTCTTCTTCGCGAGCAAACAAATCTCTCTGTGATGGAGAGCCGAGCAGCGCTGCGGTAGCGGTGGCGTGATAAAATTAAGGGGAGCGGTTCGTTAAGGGGCTCGCGGGACCGTTCCACGGCGCGATGCTGCCGTGAAAGACGGAGGAGCCTGCCTTCCTTCCACCGCTCGAGTGGTGCATTACGATGTTTACCGTTGCTCGATGCTTCGCGCCGGATATTGTGCCGCGATGCCGAGAGCTTTCCAACCACTTCGTTCCCTGTCTGACTAGCGATCGCTCCATCCCAGAAGGAAATGCTATACGACGCGTCAGATTTTTAGTGCATCCAACGAGAGCATGAAATGTTAATACCATTTAATGTCAACGAATCATTTTTCTTTGCTGTAAAAATACATTCGATCATAGAGGTATCACGAGATAAACGTTCACGTAGATTCTCTGAGGCTGAGCAAAGCGGTACGGAGAAACAAAATGGATTTGGAAGTAACATACAGGGTGTCCCAGAAAAAGTGTTAGAGCCGAAAAGGGGTGATTCTGGTATTTTTTAACAACAATTTCCTTTGATAAAATGCAAAGTGAGGCATGATTCTTGAATTATTAACGAAAAACAGTGACCAATGAGAACACGCTTAGGACCCGCGCCCAGTCACGGATAGTATAGCTAACGGGCAAGACTGTTCGAAGCAAACGGCACGAGACCGACGGGGATTGACTAAAATAGGGGGGTACACGTGTCCGATCGAGTTCTTTCGAATTGAAATTGACGAGATTCAATCCGACACCGCTGCACCGCGTTCCAGGCCGTGTCTGGACTGGTTGGCTTTGCTTTAATCGAAAATCAGAGCCAACATTAAGCGAAGACCGAGAGGTTTTTAAATCTTGGACGACGCGAACTTCTCTCTCGAAAGGAGGCATCGACGAGTCAACTTTCACCTCGCTGTTGTCTGTTTCAGCTGTACGGCGTCGTCGATGGGATTTACGCAGAGCACAGCCACACCGCAGGCTCGTTCACACATTTGGCGAGCGATCGACTGCTGGTGGGCGGTGGCGCCGACGCAAAATCCCTGCAGGGCGCCAAAGGGATCAACAACTTCGTCGGATGCCTGAGAAAGGTGAGCGAGGGATACGATCCTTAACCCGTTCGAACGCTATCCGCTTTATTCGATCGAAACTCGCCGGGACATGCAAAGTATTCCATTCGACCATCGTAATCCGTTGCCTGTTAAACAAAATACCTGACACAGTTTAACTACTTTACTTCGTACAAGTTAAAACCCATTGCATAGTTCGTATATTAAATTATATACAAAATTAATGAATCGCAGGTTGAATTAAATAAATTAGATTATAAAGTCGAAGAGACAAAATTACTAGTTTGAAGTCTCAGCATATTGTAGCGTTCAAGTTTTAATATCACATATAATAAGAGAGAAAAAGTTTTACGTAGTTTTAAATTAAAATGCGTGGCGTTACTCCGTGCATCGCGTGATGTCATACTCACCCTGTGTGTGTGCGTGTGTATACGCAAACAGTGGAGAAATACTTTTTAGTATTTCATTAAACTTGTATAATTAAGAACGCACATTTCGTGTTCCTAATTCTGAAATAAAATTCTTTCTTCTACTAATTAATTTGATTCCAAGAGGAACATTTCTATTTTAAACAACCGCAACGAAAAGTCGTGGGGAGATGTTAAGCTCGAGCATAGCTCAATGAATGGGTTAAACTCGGTGTTCGCTACGTTCTTTAAAAATCTGTTTGTCACGATGAAACAGAATAATCCGAGAACTAACGAGACCTTCCCGTACCGTTGCACCGATTGCAACCCGTAGTTATGCATTTTTAATTCGTTATCATTCGCCACGGGCGAACCAGTCGCGTCGCGTCGCGTCGTATCGTCTCGGTCGTCGTTTTGTTCCACGCCTCTGCCGTTTCATTAAAAGATAAAACCGCACGTTCACGTCGTCTGATACCAGAGCCAAATGTCCGACATAAACGACACATAAATGCCTGGACTTTATGTAACTTCCGCTTTAATAGAATAAAGAAATTCTTGACCTGCGAATTTATGAAGTGTTTTTTATAGTCTTTCCATCTTATTGGACAATTATGTCGTACATTAGACAGATACGTTTCCCAGAAATGTTCTTGCCTTTAACCGGTATTCATTCTTTCATGAAAATTACGAATTGCGTGTTCTACATCGTCGTGTAAATTGAGAGAAGGACGGTAACAGCAATAGTCAATTTAAATTGAAAAGTGCTTTGTCTTTAGCACTATCCGCGCTCCTGATGGAGCGGTCGTTTGCCGGTTAACGAGCGGACAAAGTGCCCCAGGTGCTGCTTTTAATTCATTAACCCTGCTCCTTTTGTAATTTTCTCGCGTGACCAACCGACAAGTTCGAGCTTCGTCACCCCAGCAATTAACTTAACGCGGAAATTTAAGGCACCAATATATTATAACTACGCTTAACGCGTCGTTACGTATTTTTCCTGCCGCAACATTTTCTACATTTTCGTTGACAAATTCTTGAGTCTTAACGTCAGAATTTTTTGTCTCGTCAGCAATGAAGAGAACGTTCTGACTTGTTCTAAATCCGACCTACGAGCGGCAACTGTGCGCGCTAATGAAAAATATCTCTTGGACAGGGAAAAAGAACGACGGTGAAATATTGAAAAACGAGCGTATACGTTTGTCAAGAAAATTTATAAGCACGGTTCCCTCATGAAAATCAGAAATAAAGAACTCGGTTCGATATGCACGACCGAGAAACAGTCACGCGTTTTCCCAAACAATGCCGAGAGTTTTCATTTTGCGCTAGCGTCGTCGGATTTTCGGACCGGTACCAACACCGACGCCAAACCCGATCCTCTCTGGGGAAATATCCGGCTTCCGTCGTTTTCCCCGCGGATAGAAACTGTTTGTTTAACGATACGAACACGCGCGGCCGATCGATGCTTAGCCTGGGAGCGGTCGAAGAATCGTGGTTCGTTGGAAAATTAGATGGTATTTGTACGAAACTGTTTACGAGTCGAGCTCACTGATTTCCAGGCGACGTGACAGTGTCCACGGTTATGTCCTGGGCAAATACGCCAGAAGTTTATTCGAGGCAATAGGAAGACAAACTTCGATTTTTGATAACCGGTGTATAAATCTATCGTAAGAATAAACAGTCTTTTAAATAAAATCATTTTAAATAATATATAAATGTATAATTATTATCATGTTCATTTACATTATTATAATATTAATGCGTATCCTATAAGGCTTTCCTTAAGTGCAACGTTAATGTCGTTACACGTACTTGTTATCGAACCAATCAAGTCGATAGAAATTGCTAAATGCATTCAATCTCGTTATCCCAAAGCGATTAACCCCTTCCCGGTTGTCCGATCGATCATTCACGTTGCTCTTTTTTTTTATTACCGGTCCAATAAGCGATAGACCGATTAATTAACTCGATTACATTGTATATACAATGCGAGGGTAGACCGGGGATGGATCGTAAATCTGGCCAAAAAACGGGCGAGTTTTAACCACGATTTTAACCATCCCGGTAAATAACGCTTCGCCTCCCTGGTGGATGGTAAATCGCGACTTTCGAGGCTCGGTACAAGATATAAATCTTGGTTTAATACGTAATTACTATGTTAATGCGAGCGTTAATAATCGAGCGACTGAATTTACCTTTCAATTAGTCCCGTTCCGTGACACGGAAATAAAAACGCGCTTCAATTCTGAATGAATGTTCCGACTGTATCTACAGATTGTTATATCGAACATTAAGGGATATTATTTTAATGGGCATCGTTTCCGGTAGAAATCTGCGTTCACGTTATTCCACATGACTCTTCTGAAGATTTCTATAATAAATATTAAATTTTCCTTGTTAAGTACTGGAAATAATAATCGTCCATGATAATAATGATCCATGAATAAAAGAAATTGAAACCAATTGGTATATAAAATGTAATAAGTGTGCCATTGAAGATTGTGCACATTGATTTATCGGATGTTTGTATACAGGAAGGGAAACGACAGTGTTTGCGAAGTGAAAATCGTTCTGGCAGCGAGTTTGATATATTTTCATTCGCATGTTCACATTTCTCGAATGGCAATCTTTTTCAAACTGACATTTTATCCCGGCGGGCTTTGCATCGCGATATTAAAATCCGGTTACACCCCGCATCCGGTGTGATCGAGCCAGCCGATGTAATGAAAATGTTTTCCCTGCCTTTTTGCAGGTGGAATTCATCGCGGAGGGGGTGAAAATGGAGCTGATCGAGGCGGCCAAGAGCAGAGCCGCGGGCGCCGCAGCCTGGGGCAAAATGGATTTCCACTGTCGGGAACCGAAAGCCTCGGACCCAATCACCTTCACCACAAGGGACTCTCATCTCGTGAGTATACCCGTTGCATTATGAAAGTTATGAAAAATAGGAGAAAATGCCGTTCGGATAGCGTTCGCTTGTCTATCCCCGTCGTTTAATCGACAGGGAAAAATGATCTCGAGGAAATTGGTTTACTCGCTGCCTTTCAACCGGCGAATCTCCCGTTCAAACGTTAGACTCGTTTCGTCCCTTTGTACTCGCACTTTGATATTTTCTTGAAAAATCGCTGTCACTGTTTACGGCGCGTTGTGTCGTCCATTAAATAACAGAGACGGTAACGTGTAATTCCGAGCGCGATGGAATGTCAGTCAGCGGTAATCGATTATTCAAACGTTAGTTAATCGGTAGACCGGTTATCGGAAAAAACAGGGGAGTATTTATCAGGGGACGTGAATCTCGTTTAACGCCGTTTAGCTGTTTATATTCCGAAATTGGTATCGGAGCCTGCGTAAACAACGCTGCTCTCCTTTAAACGATAAATTATACTCGGCATATTTAAATTCCGTGATAACATCTCCGTTATAAATTTAAATTTGACGTTAATTTTTCTTCTGCTACTTGCTTAGTTTCGAAATGATACAGTTTATTGATTATAAATATTTTTATTCATGTTTCGTAAATAGTTTCCAGTAACAATAATACTAGTAGTAGTGTCTTGTATTTAGTGATTTAATATTATTTGACATTCCATTACGTTCATGTACGATGCGAGCACAAGGGGTCATAAGTAAATTCCCGACGATTAAATCTGAGGAAAATTAGGTTGCTAAACATAAAAATTGGAAATATATTCGGGAAAGTATTTAGAAAATTTGAAAGTCGTGTGGATCGTGATGACCCGCTTTATCGAATCCAGCGCGGAAATTTAAACGGGACCCGGGCCGCGACTGAACTGCGCGGCAGCGGCGTTCGCATAGCAAACAGCAGAAACCAGTTGAAACGCCCGTTTTCCCTTTAGTGCCACTAAGAACGTTTGATGACTCTCCGTACAATGATCGTCGAATACGTTTCACGGCGTTCGACTCCCGTTCCCGCCCAGGCATTCTAAAACTTTTCATCGAAATTGCCAGCTTATTACCCCCGTAACTATTAAATTTGAACGATTTGAAGGGCTTTCGGGAAACACTCGGCACGAACTCAGAATCTGAAAGTTTACAGAAGCCATATTGGGTATGTCGAGTGTTAGTTTAATATGTACGTTTAAACGTTAAATGTTGTGCTGGATTAAACGTTTTAATATTTAAACGTTGAATTTAATCTTCATACGAGATCGATTTTATAATATGAGTATCATTCATTAATAAATTTTTTAAGTGGACGCTATAAATATTGGCATTTTCACAGTTCCTTCGAATATTTATTTTGTAAATCATCAATCAGAAAGAAATTCGGACATGAATCGGGTCAAGTAACGGTGAGTCGTTGAAATGGAGAACAGAGTCCATAGAATTTCAATGAAAAAGTTTGAGAGAAATGCTCGGCGGGGGATTTCCTTGTATAATCGCGCTTTTAGAAACCGTGAAAGGTCGTTACCATTGCAAATCCTATCGCGGAGGTGGCTTGGAACGGATAGTGGCGGTAGGGGAGGAAGGGTGCGAAGCATGAGCTATAATGGCGGCTCGCCTAACCGGATATACGCTCGCTCGGAGCGCATTTCGCAGTCCTCTTGTCGCGGCTCGCAGTCAGGGTTGTTTACGAGCGTGACCGTTCCCCGGATTATGGTGACCATCGACTCGCTTTATCCCCTCGCAAACCTCGAGCGCAGCTATCGACTTCTCGGTCGTGTCACTGCGAGGTCATTGCGCCGCCTAATTTTCTTGGCTATCAACGAGCCGATGAATTAGGCCGTCAATACGCTGCGTAAACAACAGGTATGCAGGTTGTTCACTCTCCGTTCTGCTAGATTTTTATCAAGAGAACTATTGTCTTATAATTATAATAATTTTATAGGACATTCATTGAGAATTTAGAAATGTTTGTAATGAAATGAAATGAAACTTATATGAAACTTATCTGAGATATTCTCAGGAAGTAAAGATAGTCTATCACAATAATTTCTCTGATTTACATATTACTATATTTTCAAGAGAAAATAGCAGTTTAGTTGGAGTGAACAAACTGTAGATTGTAGATCATAGAATGCTGAATATGGGCATATTATAATATTTGAATATTCATAAATGATCCATTTTGAATAATAGTAAAAGCAACCAATTATAAAACAGATGCCTCTGTATCGATATATTATCGTTTTTCAATTCTTTTAGGATAATATAAATTTCTACAAATTATGAGAAAGTCATATTTCTGGTTAAAAACAAGCAAAATAAATTAGGCGATCGGTAATAGTGTGTAGGGATTGACTGCTAGTGAAGGATTACCTATACATGTGCCCGATTCGCGAAGCTAATCCAGCAATCCCGAAATTGAAACGGACAGAATGAAAACTACGGATGGACGGAAAACGATACGACGCGAGGTGGTCATCCACCGATGTCATACGATTGAAAAATAGTGGACGCAGTGGAACCGAATTTGAAAAGCATTGTCTCTCATAAAACTAGTCGCAGTCTGTAATAAATATCATCAGATATAAAACAATATTCTTTCTTTAAGAAGATTTTTAGAAACTTTTCAAATAACTAATTTGTTTTACTGTATGTTAAAATATTCTGAATGCAAAAGGTAGATTGAGAAGCTCAGTAACATTTCTTTCGTTATCAAGAGAGAACTAAAATGAGCTGAAACATATAAACATAATAACAATGCGTTCTACGACCTCCGTTAAATTATTCTTTTAATGCGGGAGGCAAAGAATTCATTTATTTACTCCCGTCCGGTGTCCGTAACAATATACAAAGTGTGCAGAGGAAGCTTTTCGAAAAACGAGAAAATAATTTCGGTAGGAACTTGTGTTTCACAAGCAGCGAATATGGTTTGCTATGTTCCGTTTTGCCCCGAGATAAAAGTCCAGCGTAGACAATTATGCAGGAAGAAGCAACTAAATGCGATTGTACTTAAATCTCCCTGTTGCTTTTTAAGAAAATTTTGTGAAACAGGATTTACTTGAAGAATTTGTATTCTTCCAGTTTCAACGGTCTTGTTTCTTATTAACGTTTCAGGTAGTGTACTGGCGTCATAAAGATATTAGAAATCAGGCTGCCATTCTAGAATTGCTAATTCCCTTAATTATGGAGCTACTTCTCTTGCACTCAAGACATTTAACATTCACGTCCACAGTTATTCCAAATTCAAAAAAGCCAGTCCAAGGGTCCTCATTAACTCTCTCATTTCGTTAGTTACTTTCGCGAGCTGTTGAAAATGATTAGCAAGGGCTTATGACTTAATATAAGCATTCACTAGGTGAATTGCAAATTCGAATACGTAGTGTCATTTTCTTTAGTATCTCATTGAATTACAAATCACGTTATGTAAAATCAGTCAGATTTTGGATGTTAAAATCCAGTGATTAAAAACTTGTTTTAATTCTTATACGATCAACACATGGCTTCGTGGATGAAATAAAATGTACGCATTGATACAATGTGAAATTGTGTGATGAGAAAAATTGTAGTATTTTATATCAAGATTAATCATGATCGATATCAAATTGAAAATGGGATTAAAAATTCGAGAAGTCAGCAGTATTGCAATTTTAGATCGAAATTCGTTCGGGCGCGTACGGTCTCGAGCTATTAATATTCCCGCAGGATCGGCCGCGTATTTTCTACGGACAGCCGAGTTTCGGAGCGAGAAAAAATGATCATTTGATTAATTAAGGGAATCTGCATATCCATTTGTTGGTCGACGCGGGAGGTCGGACGGCGGAGGGGGTTGCACGCGAATTCATTGGGTCGTTCCAGGGCCCGCGCGTGAGCGCCGCACGCGGGACACGCGACTGCTAGGAAAATCCGATTTGCATAGGGCCGTTTAATTGAGGCATCGTTTCGCATTAGCGTTTGTCATTTAGCCGGGCTTGTTTTGCGAATTTCGGATGCGAATTCCCGGTGATACGCGCCGCGCATCTGCGACACCCGTTTCACAAAATCATCACGCGCGCATCCATTTTCGAGAGACAGTAACGCTGAGTGAATCCCTTGTCTCCTGTAATTTTCTTCGACAGTACCTGTGCCAACAATTTATTTACCCGCGTCACTTTGATTAAACGTTATTAGTCGGAATTAAGCCAACGTCCACGAATATGTCTGCAATTATTAAATAATCGAATTCAACGGTGGCAAACCATGGGAGATTACTGAGCTCGTAACGGATGAACTTTAAACCGCGACTGAAACCGTGTTAAAATAGCGTAACTTTAAAAGCTGCAAAAAATTGTGTCGTGAATTATAAAGTTGACTCAGCCCTGTTGCCGAACTTCACTTTCAACTTATCGCGAAAGTTAAAAAGTTCTCCACTCGCTCGTTCCCCTGGGAACGGCATTTTCGAACGAGGATATGAGAAAGTTTACCGAACGCATCTTGTTACCTGAATAATCGATAAATAACAATTATAATGCACGTTGACAAGCTCTCTGAAGAACGTGTCTTAATAATCAGTTTTCCTCTTCATTTCGTTTGCATGTATCTGAAAATATAGACGAAATGAGAAACCTTAAGTTGCAAGTAAAAAAATATCTTGATCCATCGTTCTCCTCCCTTCGCACACCAAAGAATCGTTTCTCTAGATTAGAAACCCACCCTATCGCATTTACCCTCGTTCCTTGGAATCGAAGATCTAATCGAAACTTTCCAAACGATCTGCGAGGCGGTCAGTCGATTCGCGGTAGCTCAGAGAAGTGTTCAAACACTGGTTACATGAAATTTCTATAAATATACATACCATACGCTTAATCCAATGTCTAACATTTTAATATTACTATAATATCGTCAATATTTGTATAAAAAGCATCTAAATAATTTCGTCTGACTATGTAGATACGAGCATCGATATAGAAACCTCGCGTTGAAGTCACGTTCGTAATTCACGCGAGATAATAGATACAGTCTCGT